TGCGTCTTACTGGTGGTGAGTTGATCAGCTTCTCCTTCAGAGCAGAAAGACCCAAGTTGGCTGTCATTTATCTCAACCTGGTGGAAGATGATGAAGATGACGAAGATGATGAAGATGACGAAGATGATGCAGATGAAGAAGATGATGAAGATAATGAGGACCCACTCGATGAAGATGATGAGAACCCACTTCATGAAGCCATCATAGCTCAAAGAATGAGGCTGAGCGAGGAGGAGGTGTGCAACCTATGGGACATAATTCCACCACGTGCTGACTTTGTCGGGGTGCCATTCATGACCCGCCTGACAAGTACCATGGTTGATCGACATGATATGGTATGTTATACTTACAAATGCAAATTATCCGATGATATGCTTAGTGTAGAGTCCAATGATATGTTGTGTGGAATCTAGTCGTTGATATGCTTTAGTGTAGAGTCTGATCACATGCTTATTAGTGTAGAATCCAAGGAACACCCACCGCCCAGGCTTGAGGATGATGATCGTCGTCGATATCATCTAGAACTACATATATGTGTGGCTATATCATCTAGAACTACATATGATGATCGTCGTCGATATCATGTAGAACTACATATGATGATCGTGGCGGTAAGAAATTTGGAACCGCGGGAGTACTACCTAGTACCTATAATGCTTTATGAAATTGATATCTAATAGTACCTAGTATCTGGAAATTGTAGTTTATTGAAGCTGGAATGGGGAAATGGTGAAAAATATAACAGTAGCGCGGGCTCAGGAAATCGCTACAGCTAACTAATAGTAGCGCGTTCCGAAAATGTGCTGCTGATGTAGTCAATAGTAATAGCGCGGGTACAGACAGAGCTACTACTAACAGTTAGCTGTAGCGCCTTATTGGTAGCGCGTGTGCCCGTGCTGCTGATAGCCTCAAAACCCACGCTACTACTAGGGTTTTCCCTAGTAGTGAAAGGACCAGTTATTAATTGGTGTCTCAGGTAGCACGTCACTTCATTCTTTGCGATAATGGAGGCCTATGTGGCACTGAAGACTTTGGCCCGCCGTGACAAATGCATTATGGATCGAAACCATTTTTTACTGAAAGTGGAGGCAAGCCCGCTGCACTCTGCGTGAATTTTACTGCTTCGAGAGAGTTAGAGAGTCGCTGGTCGTCTTGCAGATTCAATCCCGTGACTTACGATAAATAATCATTCACTAGGATGTACTTGAGTGTCCAGAGGTAGTGCCCGCTGTAAACATTTTGTTTGAAGACTTAGACCATGACCAATGCATTATCGATTGAAACCATTTTTTACTCAAAGTGGAGGCAAGCCCGCTGCACTTTGCGTGAATTTTGCTGCTTCCAGAGAGTTAGAGAGTCGCTGGTCGTCGACTCGTCTTGCAGATTCAATCTAGTGACTCACGATAAATAATCATTCACTAGGATGTACTTGAGCATCCAGAGGTAGTGCCCGCTGTAAAAATTTTGTTTGAAGACTTGGACCATGACCAATGCATTATCGATCGAAACCATTTTTTACTGAAAGTGGAGGCAAGCCCGCTGCACTTGGCTCGGAATTTACTGCTTCATGAGAGGTTAAAGGGTCGCTAGGTCGTCTTGCATACGTTAAAGAATTACTCACTAGAAGCCAGTGTTGTGCCACTTGAGCTCCGGTACGCCGAGCGCCCAGAGGTAGTAGTGCTCGCTGTAAACATTTTGGTCATGGCCAATGCATTATTGATCAAAAGCATTTTTTTTACAGATAAAGTGGAGGCACTTAGCGAGAATTTTACTGCTTTGAGAAAGGTAAGAGTCGCTGGTCGTCTTGCAGATTCTATCCTGTTAAAGAATCACCCACTAACGCATGTTGGTAGTGCATGCTGTGCCACTTGAGCTCCGATACTCAAGACCATCCAGAGCTACTGCATGCAGCTCAAGTCTATAAAAGCAACACATACGTGTATCTCAGACCATCAAAGGCAGCACAGTCGGAAATTCAATCATGTCCACATTACATACCAACAACATGGTCTGTCCTCTGTTAGCCATCCTCCTCCTCTCATCAGCTTCCGACCTCTTGTCATCTGCTGCAACACTAGCAGATAGCATCCACACCAACAGAGATGCTCTTCTCTGCCTCAAGTCCCGCCTCCACAGTCCCACCGGAGCTTTGGCCACTTGGAACAACGCCACCTCACCAGATTTCTGCACTTGGCATGGCGTCTCATGCACGAGGAGGCCAAGGCAAGCACCCCTCGTGGTGGCCTTGGATATGGAGGCGGAAGGCCTCTCCGGTGAGATCCCACCCTGCATCTCCAACCTCACTTCTTTGGAACTTGGCCGGCTCTCTAGACTCCGGTACCTCAACCTCAGCTTCAACATGCTGAGCGGCACCATCCCGTTCAGCATTGGGACGCTTCACAACCTTTCATCTCTAGACTTAGGAAACAATAGACTTTCTGGTGAGATTCCACCGCTCCTTGGGAGCTCAAGGGCTCTAGAATCCGTGAGTCTTACCAACAATCTTCTTGACGGGAAAATCCCACAATCATTGGCAAATAGTTCCTCATCCCTCACCACACTCTTGCTTGCGCAAAACCAGCTACAAGGATTCATTCCAGATTTTGGTAAACTGTCACGCCTAGAGATCCTTGACCTCTCCTATAATAACCTATCAGGGACAGTGCCATATGTTGGCGCCGCCTCCTCGCAGCGCCGCTCCTTCTTCTACCTCGAGTTGCCTCTCACAACTCTCTTCTCCCTCTCACACAATTCTCTTGTGTTTTCTCTCAAGAACTCTCTCATGAGCACACACACACACGCACGCATGGACCAAGGAGGAGCACGAAAGCTTTGCCATAGGCTCTTCTCCTTGGCGAACACACAAGCTACATATTTTCTGCTGGCCCTCACAGCCCCATCTTTCTCATTCATTTGTTGTGCTTAAATAGCCAGTACAGGATAACAACTTGAGCACCATACGGGCCACTAACTCCCACGTACTCCACTCCTGGAATCACTCCAGCGTTGCACACGACTCGGTAACCACTTGTGACCAGGCCAACTACATGCATGCATCAACTACTAGCAACGATACTCTCGGCTAGGACTAAACGAACTCACGCATGAACAGCTAGTCCAACAAACAGAACGACCGGCCGGTTCACCCGACCCAATTTGATGCAGTCCATCACGGCTCCAGCCTTTGATACGTCTTGCCGCTTCTCACGCAGCACCATCGGCATCTCGCCGTGCTCGCCGCCTCACACGGCATCCTGGCATCTCACCTCCTTGGCGCGCTCACCTGAAGCCTTCGTCGGACGAACACCACACTAGACTAGACTACATGCAAAACTCAAACATGCTAATACAAATATCAAGATTAGCTCTAACATTCACCCTCCTAATCTTGATATCACAATCATCATACGGATCACCCGCAGCCACTTGTCGACGCCGTCGCAGCGCCACAGCCGGCCACTCACCGCCACCGACGCCGTCGCAGCGCCGGTCACCATGGATCATCTTATCATGGATGACGTCCTCGCGACGCCGATCACCACACAATCATCATGTTGCGGCATCGCACCGCAACTAACCATCAACGCCATCGTGCCGCCAACAGCGCCCACCTTGCGCCGTCTTGCCGTGGACGACGCTGTCACGGCGTCGAGTACCACGACCTCTTGCCGCATGCAGCGGCCATGTCTTCACGTGGACGACGCCTTCGCGGCGCCGATCGCCACGCCGTCTTCTCCTCATAACGGCCTCGTGCCGTCGTACCTCCCATCGGCGTCACACCGTCGTCTTGTGGCAGCTTCGCACCGCCATCATCTAGCGGCATCACACCGCAACCGGCCACCGGCAGCATCGCACCGCCGACGGCCACCCACCTCGTGCCGACGTCCTCCACCTCACATGGAGTCCGCCGCGTCGTCGTCGCCGCCATCGCTTCCGCGGATCGACAAGGCTCTGATGCCAATTGTTGGCGCCGCCTCCTCGCAGCGCCGCTCCTTCTTCTACCTCGAGTTGCCTCTCACAACTCTCTTCTCCCTCTCACACAATTCTCTTGTGTTTTCTCTCAAGAACTCTCTCATGAACACACACACACACACACGCATGGACCAAGGAGGAGCACGAAAGCTTTGCCATAGGCTCTTCTCCTTGGCGAACACACAAGCTACATATTTTCTGCTGGCCCTCACAGCCCCATCTTTCTCATTCATTTGTTGTGCTTAAATAGCCAGTACAGGATAACAACTTGAGCACCATACGGGCCACTAACTCCCACGTACTCCACTCCTGGAATCACTCCAGCGTTGCACACGACTCGGTAACCACTTGTGACCAGGCCAACTACATGCATGCATCAACTACTAGCAACGATACTCTCGGCTAGGACTAAACGAACTCACGCATGAACAGCTAGTCCAACAAACAGAACGACCGGCCGGTTCACCTGACCCAATTTGATGCAGTCCATCACGGCTCCAGCCTTTGATACGTCTTGCCGCTTCTCACGCAGCACCATCGGCATCTCGCCGTGCTCGCCGCCTCACACGGCATCCTGGCATCTCACCTCCTTGGCGCGCTCACCTGAAGCCTTCGTCGGACGAACACCACACTAGACTAGACTACATGCAAAACTCAAACATGCTAATACAAATATCAAGATTAGCTCTAACACCATATTCCATTTACAATCTGTCTGCGTTGTTCTTTCTTGGGCTGGCCAACAATAATCTTGGAGGAACGCTGCCTTCTGACATGGGTAACACACTTCCTAAAATTGAAATACTGATGATGTCTGACAATCATTTCGAGGGAGACATCCCTGCCTCACTACAAAATGCCTCTCGCATGAGGTTTATCCATCTAGGCGACAACTCTCTGACTGGGGTGATTCCTTCCTTCAGCTCCATGCCCAGCTTGAAGTATGTGATGTTGTACTCAAACCAGCTAGAGGCTGGAGACTGGACATTCTTCTCCTCCTTGGCGAATTGTACACAGCTCCAAAATCTGAATGTGGACACAAACAATTTGCGTGGGGATTTACCAGCAAATTCCATAGCGAATCTGCCCAAAAGCTTGACCGCTCTATCTCTAAATTCAAACAACATCTTAGGCACTATTCCCATGGAGATTGGAAACCTGTCTAATCTTTCCATGCTCTATCTTGATACAAATCTTTTCACGGGACCTATACCTTCTACCATTGGTCAGCTAAGCAACTTGATTGTGCTTAGTCTGTCGAAAAACAAATTTTTCGGGGAAATACCTCCTTCCATTGGCATCCTAAACCAACTAGAAGAGCTTTACCTGCAAGAAAATCAATTGAGTGGAAGCATACCTGAAAGTTTAGGCGGCTGCCATAACTTGTTGGCAGTAAACCTTTCGAGTAATACCCTCGGTGGAATCATAAGCGGGCACATGTTCGCCAGGTTGAATTCATTGAGTTGGCTAATTGATTTATCACACAACCAACTCACAATGTCCATACCAGTAGAGATGGGTAGCTTGATAAACCTTGGGTCCTTGAACATCTCTCACAACAATCTCACGGGAAGAATACCGTCCACACTCGGTGCATGTGTCCGGTTGGAAGCGCTTCGTGTAGAAGGGAACCTCCTACAAGGAAGTATTCCACAATCACTATCAAACCTCAAAGGGATCCAAGTGTTAGATTTCTCCCAGAACAATCTGTCTGGTACTATCCCGGAGTTCCTTGAGACCTTCACCTCATTGGAGTATCTGAATATGTCCTTCAACAACTTGGAAGGACTAGTTCCCACGGGTGGAGTGTTTGCTAATAAAAGTGGTGTTTTTGTCCAAGGAAACCCACACCTTTGTGCAAACATTGCAGTAGAAGGATTGCCTGTGTGCTTTGATTCGGCATCTGCAAAAAAGCACAAGTTTTTCATTCCGATGATGATAGCTCTATCAACTCTGGTTACACTTGCTTTGATCTTGGGTATGTTCAATTTTTTGTTGAAGCGAAAGTATACATCATGTGAGAGAATTGGCCATTCATACATGGAGCTGAAGAGAATAACATATGGTGACATCGACAAAGCAACAAATAGTTTTTCTCCAGCAAATGTAGTGGGTTCCGGACAAGTCGGGACAGTTTACAAAGGTTCGTTCTACGTGGAAGACGGTACAATTGCTATTAAAGTATTCAAGCTCAATCAGCATGGCGCATTGGATAGCTTCATTGCTGAGTGCAAGGCATTGAAACACATCCGTCACCGGAACCTTGTGAAGGTGATAATTGCATGCTCAACTTATGACCTAGTGGGAAATGAGTTCAGGGCTCTAGTCTTTGAGTATATGGCAAATGGCAGCCTTGAAAACCGACTTCATAGCCAGGTTGGTGATCAGAGTCTAGGGGCAGTGATAGGCATATCAGTTGACATTGCTTGTGCTCTTGAGTACCTCCATAACCAGTGCATCCCGCCGGTTGTTCACTGTGACCTGAAGCCAAGCAACATACTTTTCGACCACGATAATACCGCGTGCGTCTCTGACTTTGGTCTAGCGAAGCTAATTCATGGATGTTCATCTGGAGGGCAGAGCAGCACAACAAGTATAGTTGGACCAAGGGGATCTATTGGGTACATACCTCCTGGTGAGTATGTTTTACAAGCACATTCTGAAATAATGTTTATGAAATATAGTTTGATCAACTATATCAGTTGCAAGTTTTTTCTATCAATACTAGCATTTTCACCACCGCTGAAGAACCTTTTACTTCCAAACATTATTGCAGAGTATGGCATGGGCTGTGAAATCTCGACCGAGGGAGACGTCTACAGCTATGGCATTGTTCTTTTGGAAATGCTAACACGGAAACGACCTACCAATGAAGAGTTCAGTGATGGCATGACGCTCCGGAAGTATGTAGATGCATCGCTTTCACGAACCCAAGACATTCTTCACCCCGGTCTTACTTCACAGACGACAGAGCAGCGTGTCGATCATATCCCAAACTTGCAAGAATACAACACACTTGCGCTGAAGGATATATGTGCTCTCCGACTCCTTAGACTTGGCTTATTATGCTCCGCGGAATCACCGAAGGATCGCCCAGCGATGCATGATGTCTACGGTGAAGTAACTGAAGTAAAAGAGGCATTTTTCTCTATGGACAACTGAAGCAATGACCTTATATACATTATTAAGGCAAACAAATAAGGCGGTCGATGAAGTTGAAGCTCGTTGCTTTGACCACGGCATGGCAATATGTTGATAACTTGCTATCTTTTCCACTGCCATCTTTTTCCTATTCAATAAGTCAATATGTTTGGCCCGGTGTAATAATTTGGTTGTCTATGCTACAGATGTCTCGGCAATATATTTTGAGAATCCTTCCACGTTAATAGAGCCCTTTGACGGATAATTTTGGGTTTCTACTGGGGACATTTTTTATGTTTTATTTGCTGGAAAAAGAAGAAGCCTGGAACAAATACACATTATACGCACCTGTCAGATGCCTACTTAAACCAATATTTAATGCAAAATACAGTTGGAAGTGAAAAGCTCATTTTCCAGCTCACCTCTCGCCAAGAACTTATAAATTTTCTACGAAATATGATTCAATTTCTAACTTAGACAAGAAAAGTAGATATATAAATGAACAACCCTCGAGTAATATAGCCATAGAGTTGTATTTTTGTACAAGTCATATGATATTTTTAAATGTTTCTTGCAAATGCATATGGTATAGACTAATTTACATCTAAACCTGAGAATAGTTTCAAACCAGATTGAGACCAGCCCAAACCATACCACTCCGCCTCTTTCATTCAGAGACCAATCCAATCCAAACTTTAACCACCATAATGTAGACCAAACCAAACTACGTGCGTTTTCCACCCAGCCCCGTCCAAACCATTTTTCGTTTTTGGGTTGAAACTGAAATCTGAAACCATGGACACAAATAGCTGGCGTGCACGTCAAGCAGACCCGTGAGGATGGAGAAGAGCGCACTAGCGTCCGTGTGCGCTTCCACACCGACCAACAGCTGTGGCTATGGGCACCGCGCGTAGTAGTTGATCTTCATCTTCAAGTGGCAAGTCGTCCTGGACGGGTAGTAGCGCCGGTGAGGTGAAGGTGGGGCTCGAGCGTGGGCACCAGAACACCTAGTCCAAGGGATATGATGCCGAGGAGCCTAGTCCAAGGGATATGATGCCGAGCAGCTGGCAGGGAACGTAAGCTTGAGGGAGTGAACTGAAACTGGCCGATTTAGTCGAGAGACTGGTTAAACGGTTTGAGACCAACTCGTTTGTGTCTAGATCAAACCAGTCCAATCCAGTGTCTCATAAAGTCCAAACCACACCAGACTGTTTTAGATTCTCGGCCCATTTACACCAACCAAACACAATCCAATAAGAAAACCAAACTGAAACCAAGGTTTCAGTCCAAAATATTACATCCATCAATTGTTTCACATTTTTGGAAAATTCATGGGGAAAGGAGAATATGGGATGCCAAAGTAACTTTCGCCTGCATCAAGTGCATGTATCAACTTTACCTTAAAAAGAAACCGGTAGTAGAACTAGCAGAGTAATGTACTTGTTTGAAACAAATAACTATAATAAAATCATGGTGCAAACTGACAAAGGAGCAACTGAACTAATCTGCCGCCCTCTTTCAAGTTCTCCATATACACAGGTTGCTAGGTCATACATGAGAGATCATCGGTTGCTACGGACCAAGGTTGCAACCACACCAAAATGATGTATTAAAATCACCAGACAAATATTCTTTGCACAACACACATACAAAAAACGCAAAATGATATATCATGGGCTCCTGGTCGCATGCATGTACATCAACTTCTAACATTTGGCATCCACATTCTTATCGCACAGAATGGCATAGCGGTCATCCAAGAGCCTTTTTTACACTCTTCTTTCAGCAAGGAGTAATAGTATGCCTGCATCTGACCAGCACCTAAGAGCACCCCAAACATTTACTTACTGGGCCTAGGAACTCTAGAAAGCCATGCGTAGGCGGGGGTGAATTTTCATCTGTTTTACAAGGCAAATGTTTCAGAAATGCCCTAACTGCGCCCGTTACGCCGTTTTCAGATTCCATGGCCTTGGCAAGCTCCACGGCCTTTTCTTTCACCTGAAATCACATGGGAAGCTATTTATGCTGTAATTTTACCAACAGGAGATCATACAAAGCTAATTCAGTACTGATTTGTGTATATATAAGTCCCAAAGCCGGTCCAATTTGAGAACTTAAGATCTGAATTTGAACATTCTAAAGATTCAATTTGGGAATGGAACCAGACGGGTTCCTGCTTCTTGGGCAGTAACCAGTCAGTTCTTGGTTTTTGGAACCATGTTGGGTACCAAACTACCAATACACCGGTAAGTAGCCGACGGTGACAGAATCTTTCCAAAAACTCAAGTAAATGGTCATTCAGAGAGGAAGCAGTAAAACAAAGTATATTCGGATGAAGTCTTCATGTAAAAACGTTCTAGGTCTTAAATGGTGGATGGATCATGGGTGTAATGTTCTAAACATCTAATTATCAAGGTGAGAATCTAGCAATTTTGTATATAAGTATATCATAATTCATAACCATATCTGTGACATTACCTGCAGCCTATCTATGCACATCTGTGTCCATATTATTGTTATCTATTTTTTCGCTATGAAACAAAAGGAAAAGTAACATATGCCCAAGTGCAGAAAAATTGTACAGTTACCTCTGGATCTAACATGAAGTTTATAACATCAACCAACTTCTGCAAATTGAATTGATCAACGGGTATAGGCGAAGGCCCTACCCCTCTAGCATGCACCCGTTCTCCCTAGAAAGGTTGGTCACCAAAGAAAGGTACAAAAGTTGTAGGACACTAAAATCACCAAAACAGTGGGTTAGAACTAAACTAAATATAAGAACTGGTCCAAAAAATAGCAAATATTATGATCAGGTGCAGTTGTCAGTTGCTTAGCTAGTTATAAGAGTTCTGTATAGTCTTTATTTTCTTTTTATGCTTTTGTAAAACACTTGCCTGTACAATTTATTTAAAATTAATAAAAATACGCAGCGTAGTCCTGCTGTTTCCCTAAAAAAACAGAGAAAATGCTGCTAATAAAAGTTGTCTCATTGGCAACTGCAGGCATGCCCTGATCAGGAATTGTTTTCAACTGATTCTAACTCTACCTAACAATAATTGGCTTGAAAAATTATACTCCTTCCGATCCATATTAATTGTTGCTCCTTTAGTACTAAAGCAGCAACAATTAATATGGATGGGAGGGAGTACTGTATTTGCATCGAGAATAGTGTGGAAGTCATGTGGCATCGTGATGAATAGCTCGTAACGTAATGCAACTGAGAGAGAGAGAGAGAGAGAGACAGAGAGAGAGAGAGAGAGAGAGAGAGAGAGAGAGAGAGTACCGCTGCTTTCAGGCCGCTGCTTTCATGGTGTACGTGTGAGGTACAAAAAAGTGTGAGCCCTCCTCTCAACAGAATAAACAGACACTGTTAGCACCATGGTGGCCACACTGGAGTTCTTTCACTAGATTTTCTTAATATGCCCCATGGAAATTGTTTGTTAATTAGTTTTACAAAAATAGGAAACATTCAGAATTGATTGATGATCACCAAAAATACTATATGAATTAAAGATAATACACTTCATGCACCAATCCACCAAGAGTAACAAGTAGCAAAGGCTTACCACTGCCTTACACTGCAATAAAATCCAGTCATGAGGGCAGTTGTCAAGTACATATATGGAATCTTTTGGTTCTGCCACTACAAAAGCCCAAAGGTTCAAGAACTCGGGATGGACTCAAAATATATGCCCACAACCAAATAGTGCAACATTCCCACAAATCACAAGATGAACTTACATGTTCCAAGGCCACCCCAACCTTTGTTGATGATACCTCTCTGTCCAGTCATTTCGAGTGCTTTGACAATGGTTTCAGTCATCTTTGCTGGATCTTGAACTGGCTAGTGTATCAGGAATTTTTTTTGTAAAGAATTAGGTAAGGCATTATAGTGGCTTTTCAAAAGCACCTAGCATTAATTTTTATTAAATTTCACAGTTAGTTGAGACTATCTTTTTTAGATGTAATGTAACAATTGGCACCTAGCATTGCAAACCCCCTGTTTGAATTAGTAACAATTCCCCTAACTAACTAAGCTACAAACTATAGAGCTAAACTACCCTCTGCCTAAAGCACACGAATAACTTCTTCTATGAGATGCTGCACAGATTCCAAGTAGCAAACCAATTTCTTATAGTGGGAAAAAATGCATAAAGCCACTTTCTGCTGTAAAACATGGAAAGTTCCACTAATCCACAAAGTGTATTCACTGCCAATGACATCAGGGTAATTAAGAAAGATTCCCTTTGCAACTAAGCAACTAACCCTATCTTGCCAGGCAGTACAATAAGTTGAACACAGTAGGTCAAATAATGCACCATATCAGAATTGGAAAAATGGAACTTAAAAACGACATGCAGTAATAAATATAAGAAAGGTCAAACTGATCTTACAAGGCTACCAAAACCAACATAAATTGGCTTGTCACCAGCTTCAAGCCATTTCACAAGTTCTTCAGGAGGTACGTAATCCGAAGCAAGATCAAGGAAGCAAAATCCAACAACATCGATCTTGGGGCCCCAGTCTGCATTCAAATAGATGACAACTTCAACATTGAGCTATACAACCCATTCACAACAACAAAATACTGACTTGAGGACAAAAGCCATCTGAAAATTCAAATGCTATAGTTTTCCCAATAAACTACTCCACAAATCACAACTGCAGTTATAATCTCAACACGAATTATAGAAGCTCCTTAACTAATTAGCAGTATAAGACATGCACAAATCTAGCAAGTAGTCCTCTGTTCGTAAATATATGACGTTTTGGTAGTTCAAATTGAATTACCAAAATATCGACGTCGTTCCCAAATATATGACGTTTTGGTACTTCAATTACAATGTCGCATTTCCTGAAATTTCAATCTGCTAGCTTGCAGTAAAAAGGCAATTGAGATGCAACTGCTCAATTTGTTGTCGTACATTCGGTACTTGATCGGTTGGATCACGAAGAAGTTCGACTACATCAACCGCGTTATTGAAACACTTCCACTTATGGTCTACTAGGGTACGTGG